GGGGTTTTTTGGCCCTCCGCAGGCTGGATCGATCGTGGACCTAGGGGACTTCATGGGTTTTTCCTGTATATTCTAAGTTTATCGGATTCAGCCTCTTTTACTTTTGGTTTGTGGGTTTTGGGGATAAGGCACAAGCTTGTCAGGGTTCATGTGGTTTATCGGGTTTATTTGCCTTAGTGCTTAGGGCTTCCCGCCCCGGAGGTCGAACCCACTAGCTGCGCGAGGTTTCGGGGGTTTAGGGTTACAGAGTTCAGGGTTTGAGGGTCGAAACCCCAAACCCCAAACCCTAAACCCTAAACCCTAAACCCTAAACCCTGGGGTTCAGGGGGTTTAGCGTTTTTGTGGCTTAAGGGTTGCCGGGTTTGAGGGTTTAAGGGATTAAGGGGGCTTTAGGTGTTTAAGGAGGTTTCAGGGTTTAAGGGTTTGAGGGCGTAAGGGTGAAGAGCTTAAGGGGGTAAGGGTTTCGGGCTCAAGGGTTGTTAGGAACCTTCTTCGTTCAGGGTTTAGGGGTGTAAGGGTCTTAGGGGTGTTGCGGGTTTCAGGGTGAAGGGCTTAAGGTTTCCTCTCGAGCCTCTAAACCAAGTTATGCCTTGAACGTTCCTTGCCAACCTGAGGAGTGCGAATTCTGCCCTAAACTTCTGAACCTTGGGATGTACCCCCTTATACTGACAGTCCTTAATAGGGGTTCTTGTACCCGATTATCATCCCTATTAAGGACTGTTAGAAAAAGGGGAGACATCCTAACCTGAACCCGAACCCCTTGACCTTGAAGACCATGAGGACCCCGACAATGAGCAGGACGAGGAGGTGGGTTTGTGAGTATTCTTTTGGAATAGGGTTCAGGGAACAGGGTTCAGGGTGTAGGGTTTAGGGTTCAGGGTTCAGGGTTTAGGGTTCAGGGTTCAGGGTTTAGGGTTCAGGGTTTAGGGTTCAGGGCTTAGCTTGTCGTTGCCTCCGTGCCCTTTTCTTGCCAGTTTCGCCTTTGCTCTTGTGGCAGGCTAGGCCATGTTTTTTTTTCTCGTCATGCCTTATGCCACTGAAGGCCTAACTGGCATCAGGTCGGGTGTGACCCCCGTCACGTATCAACCAATTCCCAAACCAACCGCACTGGGTTCATGGTTCCCTCAACCCCAAACCCAAAACCCTAAACAGAGCAAAACCCCTGTGAAAAAAACCGTAAAACCTTCCGCAAAACCTTGAAAAAAACACCCGAATAAGTTATCACAACAAGTCCTCCAAGAGCCAAGACAAAATTTTTTTTAAAAATATTAGAATAAGTGATGACAACAAGTCCTCCAAGAGCCTTAAGCAGGAGGACATCGCTGCTATGGGCCCCAAGAACCCGGCGTTCCAGCAGCTCTGGGAGACCATGACGCCGGCGCAGCGCAAGGCGCGAAAGGGACTTCTTGCCCTATAAACCCTAAACCCTAAGCCCTAAGCCCTAAACCCTAAACCCTAAACCCTATGCCCTATACCCTATACCCTAAACCCTAAACCCTAAACCCCAAACCCGAAACCCGAAACCCGAAACCCTAAACCCCTAAACCCCTAAACCCCTAAACCCCTAAACCCCTAAGCCCCTAAACCCCAAGCCCTAAAGCCGAAAGCCTACTCTTGGGATGCTGTGTTGAATTCTTGGCTCTAGGAGGATCGTCTTCAGAAGGATTGTTCAGCAAAGGCGTATGTTCAGGATAGGCAGGCTCTGGGTGCATGCGTGATTTTTGTCAGACATGAGCCGCGCAAGCCAAGCTTTCCAAACATAGCACCTTTCGAAGATCAAGCTCTGATGTGATCAAAGAAGGGTTTAGGCTTTAGGCTTTAGGCTTTAGGCTTTAGGCTTTAGGCTTTAGGCTTTAGGGTTGAGGGTTGAGGGTTTAGGGTTTAGGGTTCAGGTTTAATTAGTGGTGTAGTTGTATTGAACCCCCCTATAACACCCCTATAAGCCCCATAAGACCCACCTAAAGCCTAGACCACACCTGGGCGCAGTTTGGGGGAAGACAAGCCGAGTCCAAAGCATCTGCGCATGTAGGGTTTAGGGTTTAGGGTTCAGGGTTTAGGGTTTAGGGTTTAGGGTTTAGGGTTTAGGGTTTAGGGTTTAGGGTTTAGGCCTAAGGGTTCAGGGTTTAGGGCTAGGGTTCAGGGTTCAGGGTTTAGGGTTTAGGGTTTAGGGTTTAGGGTTTTGGGTTGAGAAGAATCTGAACTCGAAGCCCTGGCGTGCCCTATGCCACCGAAGCTCGAACGCGAAGTACTCGATCCCGAAGCCCCACAGACCCGAAACCCAAGACCCTTGCTGAAAGGGTCGTATGAAGTATGGTTTGAATATGTTAGAATTACTCGTACCCCCCAAAAGGTCACAAGCTATCTACACACACCAGTGTTTACATGGAACCTCGCCAATAGCAGCAAAATATACCCTACCCTCCTCATACAGCTAAGAGCATGAATCTCGTGTGCCGCCTAAGTCCCCCAGCCCGAAAGCCCAAACAACAAAGCTGTTAGGCATAAAGCCAGCCAAACCCTCAAATAGAAATACTCCGAGCCGCGTTCATGACGTTCTCGTTTCGCCACGCCCGAGCCTGGCTCCTGAGAAGCACTTACGAATCAGAAGTTGTGGGTTTAGTGGTTAGCGGTTGAAGAAGAACATCCTTGATGGCATAGGGTTTAGCATTGAGGGTGGGACTGACCCCAATCTGGCGTTAGATCTCTCACCACGTTGCTCGAATGCGAACGCTGCTTTCCCGACACCTTGCCCCAGGGTAGACGTACAGACGCCTCACTCCAGCTACTACACCCCATAGCCAGCCCCATAGCTTTCCGACGCGCAGCCCTGAACCCCGAGACTTTCTGCCCCCCCCCTCGTCGCCACCCATGGGCTTCCTGGGAAGCTTCTGCCGTTGCGCGGGGGCCGTGCTCGCCATCCCCATGGCGGTCATCGTGGCAGCCCCTGGGCGGATCTCGAGTTGGGCCTTCGGGTTCAGGTCCTGGGAGAGGGTGCTCTTGAACTCTTCTTCGGCCGCTTGTTTGCTGATGTGGTTAGTGGTTGCTACTTGGGGTCTTGATGTGTTAATATGTTACTTTGTATGAGTACGGTTGCTGTTGTTTTCCTTATGTCGTTCGCGATTCGCGAGTCATGTCGAAAAGGGCTTTTATGAACATTGCAGTTAATGCTTTTTGGAGGGTAGCGTTGTTTCTTACTATTTCTGCATTTAGTGACAGGTTGTTTTTTGTGGCAGGGTTCAGAAATATGTCAATTGTTCATTGTTCAACCATGGGTCGAATACCTTGGGAAGAGTAACTCTAAACCCTAAATCCTAAACCCGAAGCCGCAAACCCTAGATGCCCAGACACAGGAGCAGCAGTCTGAGATGCATCAGCCGTGTATCGTTCAGAATCGATCATTGCATGTAAACGCCCGCAATACCTAGACCGGGCCCCAAACCCTACAACCCTCCCCAAACGCGAAGCCCTAAACCTAGCGCCCGAACGCCGTCAACCCTACAATCGCTGAGCTTTGGAGGGTCCCGTCTCTTCACTAGAGTGGGGGGCTCCAACATGTTCCCACTTAGTTGCCGCCAAGGCATTCAACCCCAAACCTCCAAACCCTAAACGCTAATTACGCCCCCAAGCTAGCGCTGATGCCCATGGACGACTTGGGGATTTTTAACCTCTGGTAGAAGAAGTGCCCTGACATATAGGTTTAGGCCACCTGAGTGTTGGCAGAATCCCCCCCCCCCCCCCCACCCGCCCCCACCAAGTATATATCGACGAACCTCTCTAACTGAGAGGTCATGGTCGAGACGCCCACCGTGACCAAGCTCGAAGGCCTGGGCGCATGTTAGGGTGCAGGGTTTGGATGGGTTTGGAGTTTAGGGCCCATATTGCCTTTGGTGACTGTGGTTTCGGGTTTAGTTCGTAATCAAAACAACGGTAGCCATCAATACAAGATGCACTTTCAAGAAGTGGTTCTAAGACCATGCTCTACATCTCAAGGAGTCTTGAACACGCTAAGACCCTGAATCAGAAGCACTTCCCAAACACCTAGACCCTAAACGCCTGAACCCTAAAAACCCTAAACAACCAGGAACGGTTTAGGGTTAGGGTTGAGGGTTTAGGGTTTAGGGTTTAGGGTTCAGGGTTCAGGGTTCAGGGTTCAGGGTTCAGGGTTTAGGGTTTAGGGTTTAGGGTTTAGGGTTTAGGGTTTAGGGTTTAGGGTTTAGGGTTTAGGGTTTAGGGTGAGCCTCCTCCAGGCACGCAGGCCACTGAGGCGCCACCTGCCGAGGAGGTCTTGACCGATGCAACCGAAGCGTCGAAGGCGGACCTTGTAATGCACATGTAGGGGTTTGGGGTTTAGGGTTTAGGGCTAGGGTTTAGGGTTTAGGGCTAGGGTTTAGGGTATAGGGTTAGGGTTTAGGCCTTAGGGGCTTGGGGTTTAGGAGGTTCAGGTTGAGTAGTTTTCGGGTTTAGGGGTTGGTTTGGATGAGCGACTTCAACAAGCAGTTTGTTTGGGGTTCGATTTAGGGTTTGGGGGTTGTTTGCCTTGGGGACCTACATGAACCCTAAAAGGGGATTATAGAAGTGTAGGGTGTATGACCCCAATTTTGGTTCATTTGGTCCGCAAGGTAGGGTTTAGGGTTGAGTAGGGAGGCCCTCCCCCCCCCCCCCCCCCCGCTTCCCCCCGAAAATTTCGAAGCTCCCCCCCGCCCCAAATTCAAGCCTTGAAGGCCCCCCCCCGAGGCTCTCCCCCGCAGGTTTGAGGAGTACTACTACTACTACTACTACTACTACTACTACTACTACTACTACTACTACTACTACTACTACTACTACTACTACTAGGTTTAGAGTTTAGTGTAGGGCCAGCCTTGATCTTCGGCTTAACCCTATGTGCCCTTCTGTACCCTCCACATCCAACGTACCTGCGAAGTATGCCCCCACAAGCCCCATGAACCGTACACTGCAAAGAGGAGGGTCCGGCTGCCCCCCGGATGGGATCCGGCAGTATGTTCGACCGCATCGCCTTCGTGTACGACTCCACCAATAAGCTGCTTGTCCGAGATTGAGGATGCGATCGATGTCTTTAGGGTTTTGGATCTAGGGTTTGGGGTTATGACATACGGAGGCCCCTTATGACCTGTACTTGCGGTAGGTTAGCGCTTGGTACCGGCTTGGATGAGGACTGGCAAAGTATCTAGGATTCTTGCTGCTTTAGGGTTAGGGCTAGGTACCCCCCCCCCCCCCCAACCCTTAATGGTCACACACAAGCTCAGAAATTCTGAAACACCCAAAGACATGACAGATTTTGCGTGCTGAAACAAGTAATCCCTACCCTAGCCCTGCACCCTATTACAGGGCGGGAGTCTCCAAGGGCCTAAGATGTATAGCGCTCCTTGCCCGGGGAGTTGGGACATCGGAGCTTGGGGGTCTTGAGGTTTTTTGGGTTTGTTTTTTGGTTCTTAAGGGTGTTTTAGGCGTTTTTTTTTAAAGGGCTTTAGGGGGTTTTAGGGGTTAAGGGGTTCAGGGTTCTCAAGTGCTGCGGTCCGTCCTGTGCCACAGCCATCGCGTCCGTTGTGTAGCAAGCCAGGTGGATGTCGCTGGGGCTCGACCAGCACTGGCGGAGCACGATGGTGAAGGAGCGTTATGGCTTACACCCTCAGCCTTTCAATGAACAACCACCCAGGCATTAGAGTCTTTGAGCCCTGTAAAATTCATGAAGTCTTTCAAGCCTGTTCTCTAACTCTAATGATGTGGGAACTGCGAACATTTGAGCCAAATGGGTGGCTGGGATAGTCAACACTGTCAACACAGGGGTCGGAATGATCTCCAACATCATCTCCTGATTCAAGGGTTTAGGAGTTTTGGGTTTAGGGTTGAGGCAAGTAACTTACGACTTACGATGCGATGGCCGTATACTTCCTACATAAAGATGATATGAGCTCATTTTGGGCTCCGATAGTGTCTCAGCTTTTGTTGCAGTCTTGCGCTGAAATTTCTCAAATCATCGGCGACCTCGAGCTCGAGGAACCTCGCAAGGGCTTTTCGAAGGGGCTTTTCGAGGGCCACCTACGGTTTAGGGTTTAGGGTTTAGGGTTTAGGGTTTAGGGTTTAGGGTTTAGGGTTTAGGGTTTAGGGTTCGGAGCCGACTACATGCCGCTCCAAGAAGGAGATCTCCTCCGACACCGTGAGAACACGTCCGATAAGGCCTACGCAGAAGTCCATGGCCAACGAGGGTGGCTTCCCACGGCTTTTGTCTGCGAGGCAAGACGACCCGGCAGCACATAGCCGTGCAGCGATGCTGGGTTCCCAGAGCGTTCTTCCGCGAGGTTGATTTGGATGGGCTCATTAAGCATCCAATTCAATCGATTCTTGATTCTCTCAACTCACAGCCGCACCTGTCATGTGCATCTGCCGCCTGCAAGTGGCGACAGCCAATAGCGAGTGCACAACTCACTCTTGCTTCGCTTTCAACGCTCAAGACTTCCTCCTGGATAACCCTACCAAGAACCCCGAGCCCAAGGCCCTAAACCCTACACCCTGGACCCTAAAAAACCCTACACTCAGAAACCCTAAGCCCCAAAACCCTAAGCCCAAAGCCCTACACCCGAAACCCTAAGCCCTAACACTCAGAAACCTAAACCCGCATAAACCTAAGCCCGAAGCCTTAAACCTTAAACCTTCCCTAAACCATAAGCCCTAAGCCTTAAACCCTAAGCCCTTAGCCTTATTAAGCCTTAAGCCTTAAACCCTAAACCCTAAGCCCTGAGCCCTAAACCCTAAACCCTAAACCCTCAACTGAAAGCCCCTCAAAGGACTGCCTCCAGCTGCAGGCAGAGGACAAGGCAGGGTTTAGGGTTTAGGGGTTAGGGTTTAGGGTTTAGGGTTTAGGGTTTAGGGTCTAGGGTTCAGGGTTTAGGGTTTAGGGCTTAAACTGTTACGAATGGAGCCCGAAAAGGGTTCATGGTCCATGTGCATCGAGTTTTGGTAGGATACAGGAGCTTCATTTACTAGGAATTGGGGATGCCTTTCGTGAGTTCTCATGTCAAGGATATACTCTTTTGGGCACTGGGAGGACCACCATCTTGGGAAATATCCTTTTGGCCCTACCGTGCGTTCCGATGAATATTGACCCAGACTCCTCTGTCTCGTTGTTAGAGTGGCAGACCGTGCACCCCCAAACCCAAGAAATCTCAAACTTTCACCTTATTGGGTGTGTGTGTGTGTGTGTGTGCGTTTCCCTCTGTGTCGTTCTGCGTAGTTCTGCGTAGTTCTGTGTAGTTCATGTAATTCGGTTGTATATAGTTCAGGGGAGTGGCTGCGCGTGACTCAGCACATCGCTTCCTACCTAAACCCTAAACCCCTTACCCCCTAAACCCGAAGCCCAGTAAACCCAACAAACCCTACAAACCCTTTAAACCCTATAAAACCCTATAAAGCCCTATGCACCCTCTAAACCTCCATAACACCCTGTAGAGCCCTATAAACCCTGTAAACCCTACAAGCCCTACAAACCCTACAAGCCCTACAAATCCTACAAGCCCTTAATCCTCAACCCTAAACCCTAAACCCTAAACCCTATACCCTAAACACTAAACCCTAAACCCTACGTGTCACAGGTCTTAGACCTGGCCACGGGCACGGCGGACGTTGGCATCCTCGTGGGGCAGCAACTCCGGCCGGGGCCCTTCGAAGCGCTGAGCCTGCCTGGCTTTGGGTTTTTGGGGTTTGCGGTTTAGGGTTTAGGGTTTGGGGTTTAGGGTTTAGGGTTTTGGGTTTTAGGATTTAGGACTTCGTCCTTATAGGGTTTTAGGGGGTTATGGGGTTTAGGGTCTTGGATTTAGGAATTAGGGGGTTTACGGCTTGAGTGTTTCGGTACAAGAAAGACTCTTAGGCCCTCAACCCAGAACCCTCAAGCCTTGAAACCCCAAACCTCAGAAAAGCAATCCCAAACACAAAACTACACCAAAGCCCTCAACTGGCCTAAGTTATCCAACTAAACCGTTGCATCCAATTCCTGACAACCCTGAACTTCTCAGCCTGAAAACCCTAAACCCTAAACCCTAAACCCTAAACCCTAAACCCTAAACCCTAAACCCTAAACCCTAAACCCTAAACCCTAAACCCTAAACCCTAAACCCCAAATCCTCAACTGAACTCTTAAGCCCAGCCTCTCAGCTCCCCGAGGTCGCTGGGCTCTGCCTCCGACGCCGTTCTGGGCGTGGACCCAAGCAGCGAGATGCTGCGCAGGGGCGTGGCCAAGGTGGGCTTGGGGTTTAGGGTTAGGGCTTAGGGCTTGGGGCTTAGGGCTTTCGGGTTTTGGGTTTTGGGTTTAGGGTTCAGGGTTGAGGGTTGAGGGTTGAGGGTCTGCGCAGGGGCGTGGCCAAGGTGTGCTTAGGGTGCAGGGTTTGGGGTTTAGGGGTTTAGGGGTTTAGGGCTTTAGGGCTTTAGGGCTTTCGGGCTTTCGGGCTTTCGGGCTTTCGGGCTTTAGGGCTTTAGGGCTTTAGGACTTTAGGGCTTTCGGGCTTTGGGGGTTTCGGGCTTAGGGTTTAGGGTTTAGTGTCTGTGGTGGTGTTTTTACGCTTTTCGCTTTTTGTTCTCCATGGATTTAGATTTGTTGGGTGGCTTTCAGGGTCTCTGGTTTGTTTTTGAGTTTTTGGTTGTGTCTTCAGGGCTCTCGTTTGCTTCTTTAGGATTTGCAGGCTTCTGGGGTTTCTGCTGAGGGTTGTTGGAGGTTTGCAGGTGTGGTGGCGCCTTCCCCCCAAAGATAACCCTAAATCCCAAACCCCAAAGCCCTGAACCCTTAAGCCCGAA